CCTCGCAGGCACCGCGGGCGCGTCAAACGGTGGGGTGCAGGCGTCGTCTGTGCATGTTTGCGCGATCGCACGCACCGCTTGCACCGTTCACAGTTTTTGCATAGGCGCAGGCATGCCACCCCGTCTGGGGCTGCGAACATTTGCAAAGGAGAGGGGGAGGGGGAGGGGAAGAGTGGGCGGCGGGGAAGAGGGGGGGGGAGCGCCGCGCGCGACTTGCACTCTGCCGGAAGCGTTGCCCACTATGGGGCTGCGCCGTTCGTCGCGGGAGGGGGCGCAAGTGCGTGGGCAACGACGGGGACGGGAAGCGCCGTGCGGGCTGTGCTGGGGGATCAGCGCACCCCTCATTACCCCGCCGAAACATCTTCGCCCATTTGGGTAAAGTGATGCCGATATGAGACATGATCCAACGATGTGAGATATAATCGGTCAGTGCGCGATGTGCTAAATTGACATGCGGACGTGCGAGATAGCATGTGTATGCGTATACGTTATACACATATGTTGATACAAAGTGCCTGTGCGTAAAGTCTGGTATACGATCATGTGCGAACCTACGTCTGGTAACATACGTGTACACATGTTTACATTGTCCGCGCTAGGCCCACATTGGTGCAGATATTATGCGGTTGTAACTTATTGGACACACGAATTGGTAACCGAAATGATGCTCATTCAGCAGCTGTTCATACAGCATGCTACACAATGACAAAGTGGAGATAATACAGGCCTGAATTTTCAGAAGTAGAAAGACCTCGCTTGTAGCACGTGAAAATACTATCAGACGCATCAGTAAGCACAATCTATAAGTACATATATATATATATAACACAGCATGGTAGCTTGCCAGACCTCGATGTCGCGCTCACCTCCACGGCCCCAGTCGCCCGCGACGTCCTCGGAAAATGACCCAACGGCCCAAAACCGCGTGGTGACCCCGACCCCCCCCCCGACTCACCACGCGATGTGGCAACCACACCGTTGGGGCCCCCCCGGCCATCACTCTCGTCCGAAGCGGTGGCCAGGGGCGAGTGAAGATTGTTCCGTGGCCACAGGTCGCACATCTTCGGCATAGCCAGTGCGAGGAGAGGAGGGCTGGCCCTTCCAATTGCCACTCTCGGGGAAGAAATAAGCCTCATCACAAGATCGCTCAATCATCAACAGGCACCGTCGCCATCGCCATCGCCGTCGTGACTGCAAACCTTCCCATCACTACCATCACCATCATCATGATCATCAATACCGTGGCCGCGCCATCAGCATCTCCATTTCCAACACCGCCATGAGCGCCACCACCACCACCACCGTCAACAGTACCGCGCGGGCGCGGCAGCAAGAAACCCTCGCAAGAAACCCTGCCCTGAAACCCGCAGGCGCGAGATGCAAGTGGGGGGGAGCCCAGAGCACCCCGAGCGCAGCAGCTCCTTCAGCGGCCACGGGGAGCCACCGCACCGCGCGCGGAGCGACACAGCCCGGAGGTTACCCTGACGACAAGCAGTCCGTTTCTTGAGGCGCGCCCCCGCTGCACCATCGTTGTCGCTGCCGCCATGTGCTAGCAGGAGGAGGAGGAGGAGGAGGAGGAGGAGGAGGAGGAGGAGGAGGAGGAGGGGGAGGAGGAAGAGGAGGAGGAGGAGGAGGAGGAGGAGGAGGAGGAGGAGGAGGAGGGGGAGGAGGAAGAGGAGGGGCTGTCCCAGGTGCCCCTCTCGGGGAAGAAGAGCGGCAGCAGCCCCAGGTTGAGCCACGACCAGAAGTCGCCGACGGAGTTCACGTCGTGTATGTTCTTGAAGCCTCGGCGCGGCCGAGCGCGCGGGGGGCGGCCCATGGTAAAGGGAAATTAGGACACACAAATGAATTCACACAAATAAACATATTCCCCATATTTTCCCATATTTTCTGGGTTTTTGTCTTCCCCCCCAATTCCCATATTTTCCCATATTTTCCTCGGAATCGAGGATTAATTGTGTCTGTGTGTTTTTTTCCCTCCTGACATGGGCGAGTGGGAGGGGTCAAGACGAAGCCAGGACGAGGATCAATTCGGGCAGGGACGCCTTGAGAACCTCTGAAATCCAGCGGCTCTGGAGGCTGTCGCGGGCGCCGCGACCTTCTCGGAGCGTTCCGCAACGCTCTGCGAGCGTTCTGGAAAGCGCTCTAGAACGGATTTTACCCTCGCCCACACTCCGTCCGAGGGGTGGACGGGGGGAAGGGGAGGAAGAGGAAGAGGGGGACGAGGGCAAGGGGGAGGACGAGGACAAGGAGGCGGAGGAGGGAAGAGGAGGGAAGAGGAAGGGGAGGGGGACGAGGAAGATGAGGGCAAGGAGGAGGACGAGAACAAGGAGGAGGAGGAGGAGGGAAGAGGAAGAGGAGGAAGAGGAGGAAGGGGAGGACGAGGGCAAGGAGGAGGACGAGAACAAGGAGGAGGAGGAGGGAAGAGGAGGCGGAGGAAGAGGATGATGACGAGGGGGACGAGGGCATGGAGGAGGCAGAGGCTTGCACGCGGCTCCGAGAGGGCGGGTCGGGCGCACCCCCGCGGCCGACACAGGCGGCGGCCCTCAGGAAGCGGAGGATACGCCGAGGAGGACGAGGAGAGGAAGGAGGGAGGTGACGAAGGAGGAGTTCGGCAGGGGCAGGACGGGGGCGGTGTGGAAAGGGGGGGGGGCCCGGAGAGAAACAACCACCATAACCATAAACTGTTGGCGCTCCGCGCAGATTTCTTGGAGCCGCGCTGGGTTCCCCCCCCCCCGCCGGCGCGGCGACGCCCCTGGCGCGCTCCGCGCGCCAGGGAGGGGGGCCCAGCGCAGATCCAAGAAGTCCGCGCGGAGCGCCACAAGTTTATGTCGATGCAGTTGTGTTCTTCTTCTAGGGGCGAAACTAGATTGCAGCACGTCCACCCTGAGAATGAGCGCCCCGACAAGCGAAGCTGTTTCGTAAACGCGCCCAAGGAAGGAATCGAACAGAGTAAGGCTGTTTAGTAGTCAACGCCCAAGGCCGTTTAATCCCACCAGCCCTTTGGGCGACAGGTGGTCTACGGAAGGTCTCTTTCCTCTTCCACGACCCCTCTTCCCTTCGGGGACGGGAACCCTCTCCCTCCCCTCCCTGAGGTTTTTTGGGAGGGGGCCGCGACGACTTGGAGCATCCTTTTTCGGCCCCTGGGAGGGCCATTTTTCGCCACCCCTCACGAGGATCGTGGCCCCTGAGGGTGGGGCGGAGATGAAGGAACCCCCTCGTTTGATCGATAGCCTCCAAGATGGTCCCAAGAGGGCCTCCAGGGTTCCCAAGAGAGCCCCAAGAGGGCCCAAAGAGCGCCCCAAGAAACCCCAAGAGGACTCCAAGAGGCACCCGAGAGGCCCCCAAGAGGCCCCCGAGCGGCCTCAGAGAGCCCAAGATGACCTCCAAGATGGCTCATATAGCCCAAGCTGGCTCAAGATGGCTCCCAAGATGCTCCAAATGGCCCCAAGACCGCTCCAAGACGGCTCGAGATGGCCACGGAGCCTCCCAAGCCTCCCTCGCTGTTTGACTATGCGTGTCTCTTCCTCTCTCCTCCCGTCAGCTCTCATGGGCCTCGTTTCTGGATGGGCTGGTGGGGCTACGCGAAGCGTCAATAATAAACGCCGACTATCGTGGTCGGGGTGGTTTATCCTCCCGTGAGAAACGTGGCCGAGAGGCGACGACGAAGACGGACGAACTCTCGAGGGAGAACCCGGCCAACCATGCCCCTTCGCTTTGGCACGCTGAAGATGGGTACGGAAATAATGGGCACGATACCCCACAACAAATGATGTCCAGCGCCGTCACCGACGGTTTTGAACAACATCTGTCTTTTTCAAATGAATAGTCCCCCGAAGTGCCCCCCAAGTGCCCGCAAACGCTCGCAAACATTCGCAAAGGGCCTTCATATTGTTAGTGCCCCCTTGCAGCAACAGAACACAGCAGGTACAATAACAACGGCAAGCAACAACTAGTACTGCTGCCGCTGGTACGGATCTTGTCATTACCATTCCAATTGCTCGTGCTCGCACCCTACCGTAGTCATCGCCTCTTTGTCATCGTTCTCGTCCTCATCGCCCTCCTACCCCACCCCCCTTCTATGCTTCACCTTCCTCCGCCCCCGCTCTTCGAACGTTTGCAAGCACTTCGGAAACACTCCCAGGGACTGCTGAAACACTTTGCAAACGTTTGCAAGCAGTTTAGAGACACTTCCGGCATGGTTCGGTCACTTTGGACAACGCTGCGCGAACGTTTGCAAGCACCTTCACCAAAAGCATTCTGGAGGCGCTTCGCAAACGTTTGCAATCACCTTTGGAATCGGCTCTTGCGAACGTTTGCACGCACGCCGGAGGCCCTTTTTTGTCGCTTGTGGTTACTTTTGGTGCGCTTTTCCAACGTGTACCCAAAACTGACCAAACATGTCTCCGACGTGCTTGCAAACGTTCGGAGAGCTCGCAAAGGTGTTTCAAACGTCACCCAAAGTGCCCCAAAGTGCTTCCAACATGTTCAAAAGTGTTTAAAAGTGCGTCCGACGTGCTCGCAAACGTTAGCGAAGTGATGCAAAAGTGCCCGCAAGTGCCTCCAAAATGCTTGCAAACGTTCGCATACGGTCGCAAAGACCTTCAAACGTGCCCAACAGTGCTGGGCAATGCCTCCAAGGTGCCCGCCAATGTTCGCAAAACGCTCCCACAGTCCCTCCAGAATGCTCTGGGCCATTTTGCCAACACGTGCCCCCGGAAGTAACCAAAGGTGCCCAACAGTGCCTCCAAACTGCTTGCAGAAGTTCGCAAACGATCGCAAAATGCGTCGAAAGGGGAGAGCAATGCTGGATAACGCTTCCAAGGGGCTTGCGATCGTTCGCGAAGCGCCTCCAACGTGCCGCCAGACTGCAGTTGGGTTCTTTTCCAGCAGACGTGTTCAAAAGTCGCCCAACTTGCCCCCCGACCTGTTTGCAAACGCTCGCAACGACCCTCCACAGAGCTTGCGAGACCACGCGGAATGCAGATAGCCCTGCGAGGTCTTGCTCATGGTCGGCAGGCCCTGCCATGCTCTGCGTGCCTCGAGGAAAGCGCAAGCGGCTGCACAATCGCGAGCTCCCATATTTAACGCTGCTTCCTTTTGCCAAGGAGCATTCCACATAGACGGCTCGCTGGTGAGACCCCGAGCAAGAAGACCCACGCATACTCAGGTATGTATACTCCGACATCTTGCGTTCAGACCCACTCACCTTCAGACGCGTGATCTGACGCACACGCACTTGAACGTTTCTTCCATTTGCTGCCATGTCCTGCCATTCGCCTCCCCCTGGGACGAACGACCAGAAGAATAGCTCCCATGAGTTGTTATCTAGCGTCAGCGACCGCTGTTGGGTAAGCGACCTCTTGTCTCAGGTGGACAACGCCCGCGGAGACGCCGACAACGAGCCCTGCTCGAAACGGGCAGGATCTGCCGTCGGTTTTCGTCCCCGTTCTTCCTGTGCTCATTTCTCGAGTAGGGGATGGCTACAGGCTTCATTTACCCCGGATTTGATTTGTTCGTCGAGACCTGCAAAAATATGTAACACCTGGATACAGCCGCGAAGAAAATGCGTAAATTCTAATTTGGGGGTACATCGATTCTGTAGTCGATACCCTAGTCTCGGGTCGGGCGAAAGGGGGGGATAGCAAAAGGGGGGGTTGAGAATCAGCTCATGTAGCTGATTTTCCCGGCGCCTCCCGGCGCCGGAGGCGGCTATGTATCGAGGAATGGGCCCCTCGGTGGGGCCGAATCCAGCTGCATGCAGCAAATTTCGTAGCCCCCCCTTTCCTGATCCCCCCCTTTCGCCCGGCCCGATCGTCGAGCTTCGGCCGTATACTGACCCCTCCTCCGACGCGCTCCGCCCGGCTGCCCCCGCGGGGCCGCGCCCGCCAGACGCCGCGCCGGGAAAGCAAGTGACGGGGGATACACCCTGCGAAATGCTTAAGAAATCATGGGTTAAGAAATTCATAGTCTCAAAACTTGAAAAAAAAAACAAAGATTTCTATCACAGACTTAGGATCTAGATTGAAACGTTAAGAATAATCGAGACTCTGGCCGAAAACTTAAGTTTTCTTAAGCATCGCCTAAGGTGTACGGTGACCGACCCCAGTCCCCGACTTTCTGGGAGTTTTCGACTGGACCAGAAATCTGGGGCCCAACCCTGGGAGACACGACGGGGGGGCACCCATCCTGCACACGAGGCGCGTGCGAATAGCCCCGCGGGAGTGAGTCCCAGAGCGCCCCCCCCTTTCCGGAGAGGCCAACAACTTGTCGGGCGGAGCTCGAGGATTGCGGGAGAAACAAATCGCCTGCGCGCAAACTCGGCGGCAAGCCCGGGGAAGAAATGAGAAGGGGCAGGTCCCTTCAGACGGCTCGGGAGTCCCCCGGCCTTCTGAGAAGGCGCGAGGGCTTCTGAGAAACCCCGCCGCCTTCTGAGAAGGCCTTTTCCTTCTCGCTTCCCCCCCCCTCGCTCGCCGCCGAAAAAGGTCCGTCTCTCGACGGCGCGGTCGGCGGCGCTGGCCGCCGCCGGGAGCCCGCCGCCGTCGGCCCCGCGGGCCCCTCGCACGGCGCGCCAGCCGAGGCCGCTCCGGTTCTTCCTCGCTCGCGCGCTGCCTACCTACATGAGGGCACACACACACTCATATCTATATCTATGCATATATTTACATATACTTATTTATGTGTGTGTGTGTGTCTATGGCAATGTCTCTCTCCATATATAACTGTATATGTTATCTACATATGTATATGTCTATTTGTTAGTGTGTTTTGGTATATGTATGTAC